TCGTTTACATACAAATTGTTTCTTTCCAATTGGTAGTTTTGCTTTGTTCTTCGCTACAGTTGTTTAACCAAACGTAAAATTGTTTAATCGGCTTGTCAGTATATCATTTAAAGCCTTTTTGTCTTACAGAAAGTGCCAAATACGACTCGAAGCTTTTTTGTACTATTATAGGGTTTTAGCACACAGTGGTGGGATATAAAGTAGTGGCTTCATATGTTCCAATCCTTCGTATTCTGTCATAAAGTTTCTAATGTTAAAAACTGCAAATTTCCGTGACTCAAAAGGGCTGATTGTTTAAAAAATGAATAACCGTTCACAAGCCAAATGTTTATGAAAATATGAATCTACGAGTTCTCTGAAACTTAAACACTACCTGTTATTGGCTTGTACCGTCACCAAATGTTTATGATAAAGATCGAAAAATAAAGAATAAAATAATAGGAAAATGGACACAGATTAGTGGTATACGAACTTTGTTATAGATACATCCGAAATTTCTTAACGGAATCTTTGTTCCGCTGTGTCTAATCTGTAAACTAAACTTTCTGTCGGCTATTCGGCTCAATAAAACAGAGAAACTAATTGCTTAAAAAAATGGTATACAAATTGAAAAAAATGTTTCTGCAAAGGAGCATTATTGCATATTAGAATTAATTAGATTTTGGCGCTTCATTTAAGTTGAAAGTGTCATCGTCACGGCTTTCATACCTTGTTAACTATGTAACTATTTTAAGCATACGATTACTATCTTATAATTAAACAAATTTCGGATTATTTCTATATATTTAACTCTTCAAAAAAATCTCATACTCCACACAATTAAATATTAAAAGTTTTTATACAAAAAAAATTTTTTATTTCAGCCCTTAAAAAGAAGGCAGGGATCCTTATACAATTAAACTTTAAAATTTGCTGACCTCTCTGAGAAAATCTCCTTACCAGATTGGTGTCGCCTAGTTTTTTGCGCATTCAATAAACAGGAAAGGCTAATTGTTCTTGGCTTGCCGAAGTTTGCTTCCTTTCATATTTTATTGGTAAAATGTATTACTTCAATGTACAGTAATTATATAAAAGACTATATTAATCTATTTTATATGTTATTCCAATAATTACAAAAAATGATTTTAAATCTCATTTTGAACAAGGCCGAAAAATCATGTTAATCTTTCAAAACTCCCATTCCTACCTTCTAATGAGTCAAAATCTCCCAAGTGCACAGTGGGCGATTTGGTCTCTTTAGCGGCATTTAATTCAAATTTAAAAAAGCGTTGATATTTAGAGATTTCGATTTATCGAAGCTTTTTAGAAGCTCTATAAGCTCATTCAATAAACAGGAAAGGCTAATTGTTCTCGGCTTGCCGAAGTTTGCTTCCTTTCATATTTTATTGGTAAAATGTATTACTTCAATGTACAGTAATTATATAAAAGACTATATTAATCTATTTTATATGTTGTTCCAATAATTACAAAAAATGATTTTAAATCTCATTTTGAACAAGGCCGAAAAATCATGTTAATCTTTCAAAACTCCCATTCCTACCTTCTAATGAGTCAAAATCTCCCAAGTGCACAGTGGGCGATTTGGTCTCTTTAGCGGCATTTAATTCAAATTTAAAAAAGCGTTGATATTTAGAGATTTCGATTTATCGAAGCTTTTTAGAAGCTCTACGATCAGCTGATCATCAGATGTGAACGGACAAACATACCATATGATTTTGCAAGAGCTTTACAAAATTCTTTCTTTTTGCGCGCATTGATTACAAGTTCCTCGGAAATTTACAATTTTTATTGAATTTATTAAAAGTTTGGCTTTTTATTATCTTCAAGGTATATATTGCAAAAAAAATCAATGTTTGTGACCGGTCTATAAATGATAAGCTCATAAGGTCAAGTGGATTCAGTCTAACTCTTTTATTAGCCGAAACTGTGAATCAGTGGCGTCTAAAATGTGTAATATGAACTGCTAGCATTCTAACTATGTTACTTTTTAGGCAAAATTTTTTTTTTTTTTGTATTTAACTTTGCTTTTATTTATTGAATCTTCTCTTAATTTTGAGACTAACAAAAAGTTTACGAATCTTAACATTAAAATTTAACTAACAGTATAATAAGACTGCATTCTGGTTGTGCGTGCCTCAAGTCGGTCGCTGGTTGGGTAAGTCATTGCGACGAAGGCGTGATTGGTTGATCAACCTTGTAAGACCTCTCGCCATGTGGTTAGGGTGCAACTATAGCTTGGTAAAGTACTTTTCCTTCTGTTCTGCGATCACATCTTTGACTGGTAGAATGTTTAAGTCGCGATGTATGTTTTCGTTGCGAACAATGTCAGTACCAACAAAAAGGAAAGCTTTTGGGGGAGCCGAAGTTGATATACCCTTGCAGAATACTCTGTAAATTATATTCTCCAAAATTATTCATATGATGCATTCTTAATACTCATAAAAATCCCAACTTCCTAACTTTAAAAACCAAAGTTATGACATTTCCAATCGTTCAGTTATATGGCAGCTATAGGATATAATCGGCCGATCCTTATGAAATTTGGTAGGTCGGATTGGCTGGCCAAATATAACACCCATAGAAAATGCCGACTTCCTAACTTTACAAACACCAAAGTTATGGCATTTCCGATCAATCAGTTATATGGCAGCTATAGGATATAGTCGGCCGATCCTTATGAAATTCGGCATGTCGGATTGATTAGCCAAATATAAAACCCATAGAAAATCCCAACATTCTAACTTTACAAACACCAAAGTTATGGCATTTCCGATCAATCAGTTATATGGAAGCTATAGGATATAGTCGGCCGATCCTTATGAAATTCGGCATGTCGGATTGATTAGCCAAATACAAAACCCATAGAAAATCCCAACTTCCTAACTTTACAAACACCAAAGTTATGGCATTTCCGATCGTTCAGTTATATGGCAGCTATAGGATATAGTCGGCCGATCCCCGTTCCGACTTATATACTGCGCAAAGGAAAGAAGGGTGTGCAAAGTTTCAATTCGATATCTTTAAAACTGAGAGACTAGTTCGCGTAGAAACAGACAGACGGACAGACAGACGGACAGACGGACAGACGGACAGCGGACAGACGGACAGACGGACAGACGGACAGACGGACATGGCTATATCAACTCAGGAGGTGATCCTGATCAAGAATATATATACTTTATAGGGTCGGAGATGCTCCTTCACTGCGTTGCACACTTTTGACCAAAATATAATACCCTCTGCAAGGGTATAAAAATGCTTTTTTAGTATGGCACTCAGAAGCCATCCCAACCAAGAAGTTTGTTGTCATGGAAAACTTTGTATTTGATACTGTTGTGAAAAACCTCGCAGTGCGAGATTGGCAAAAAGTTGCGAAATTTTACTAGTAGGCTTATGGTAAAGTAGAAAGACTGTGTAAGAAATAAGGATTTTTTCGAAACCAAAAACCAGGAATGGCTAGATACGCCGCTGGTATTAATGGAAATCTCATCTTCAAAAAATGTTGGACGTCCACAAAAATATTTTGCGGATTTTTGCAAAAAAGTTTGATGACTTTGATAGAGACATGATAGATCAATATTTATTTTCAATTTGTATGGTGCCATTAACAGTGCAGAACGGATATAACTATTATATTGAAAAACAATAGAACTTCTTCTAATCGATATTGTCGACCAATCGGCAGACTTAATTCGCAGAGAAAATTAAAATATTAAAAGCCAAATATCAAATATGTTACCAACATTAGTGAATGGCTTTAGAATTGATCATCAAGTTGATATGACCATGCTTGATGGCAAAACCTTCAGTGTCATATCGGAATCTTCTTCGCAAGCATGCAAGAAAATAAAAAAATTATTCAGCCGGAGCTGAGGGAAGAAATGCATTTGCTGGTAGATATACCAATTGCTACTGTTGGCAGTACGAACAACGGAAACACTGCAAGGAGGTTTTTCGAACAACCAAATTTGGCTGCTCGTATAACAGGAGTAAGCTATGATTTAATACACCGATTCATTGTAGTCTTACGAGCACTGCCATGTTGTCACGAAATAAATTCGGAGACATTCCGGTCTTACGCATTGGAAACTGCCGAATTGTTTGTGAAATCATATCCCTGCTTTTATAAGCCATCGTGTGTTCACAGAATTTTAATTCATGGAGCATTATAAGCCATTTTTACCTTCCAATTGGTATGATGTCCGAGGAAGCCAAGAACAAGGACTTCCGAAACGTACGCAAGAGCAATACAAGAAAAAATTGCATGAAAAATAACATGGAAGATGTGATAAATGCCTTATTAGTTTCTTCCGACCCTTTGATAACTTCATTTATAACAATTTTTATGGATGATGATGTTAAGAGTTTGCTTCTAATAAAGCATCTGGATATGCCTCTCTCTGATTCCGATGATTTCGAATAACATTCTAGCCTTTTTTAGATAAAGTTTATTTATGAAATATGTTAATTGAAGTTTAAAATCAAAAAAATTAATCAAAATTATATATTAAAAAATTTTTTTTTAATTAAAAAAATTTTATGATATTTCTCTGATCAGTGAAAAAAAACTGACTGCAGACATCTATTTTAGTTTAGAAGTTATTAATCAAATATTAGCGAGACCAAATCGCCCACTGTGAAGTGGTCTAAATTCGTTTGAATTTAATGGAAGTTTTGTAATTTGAGAAATTTAAAGTCTTAAGGAAGTACAAAATATTGATTTTTTGACAAAATTAATAAATTAGTAAGTGATGTCCTGGTTATTTATATCAATATTTTACTAAGTGTAACTTATTGTTTAAGGGCGGACCCACTTTAATTTTTGCGACCGAACCCTTATGTACATATGTATATACAAAGGAATACGTATTATGCAGCTTTGTCTAGAGTTTGGAATTAAATGTGTTTGTAAGTGCCGATTATAACTGATTTAATTTTCAACTACTTCTGTTCCTACTTTTGCAGTATATACTTCTGGAATTTTGCAAATCGTAACTTACCTTCCGGTCCGTTAATCATGCCGTTGACGTTTCCACCTTCTAAAGCGCCACCAGAATTTCCACTGTTAGCGCTATGAAGCACACCAATACCACCGCTGTATACCTCCCCCTGCTGCATTTGATTTGAGAAATGGCTTTCCTTGGCACGCACTACTTCGTTCAGTCCCTTGTTATGACTGGGTGGCTGCTTCCGACGCGGCTTAACCGTTGTGTGCACGTGAGGCGTTGCAGTCGTGGTCGACTTGGTCGGTAGTCGTAATTCTGTAAGACATTGCACCAATTGTACAGGAAGCTTATTTAGGGGTTTTTTGGGAAGAGCAAAGTAGCTGACGCGGAAGATCCATGAGTCTAGGGACCCCTAGTTCACTGCGCGTCTGTTTTCATTTAAAAAATAAACTTAAATGTTTGTTGGTCTTAGTTTAATAAAGAAATTTTTACTTGCAGTAATAATTAATTATTTTGTATAATGATTATTACTACAAATAGAAGTAGCTACCACAATTAATCCACTTATAATTATAATTATAAATTTATTATTTATTATTTATTTTATTTTTTTTTATTATAATTATAATTATAATTATAATAATTAATAATTAATAATTAATAATTATAATAATTAATTATTAATTAATAATTATAATTATAATTATAATTATTATAATAATAATAATTATTATAACACCCTCCGATGACATTACGACTTTCCAAAGAAAACTCGAAGATATCGAAGATGCTGCCAAGCAAGCTCAGGGAAAAGTCCTATTAGCAGGTGACTTTAACTCAAGAGCGGAAGAATGGGGCATGTCATCAACCAACTCCAGAGGCAGAAAAATTCTAAACATGGCGGCAAGGCTGGGAATGGTAGTTGCAAACATAGGATCAACCGCTACATTTAGACGACCAGGAAATGAAGGAACAATCCCGGACATAACGCTAGTGACGGAAGAAATGGCAAACAAGGTTGCCGAATGGAAAGTATTAGAGATCTTTAACGGAAGCGATCACGAGTATATATCCTACAAGCTGACACAAGGCGATCAAAATCGTTCTGAAAATCGCCTTAGCCTGGGAAAAAGGGATGGAACGTAAATAGACTGAGCAAAACAACTCTCATCAACGAAATTGATAGAAAAGCTAATACTATACGGCAAAACGACGAGAATATAGTCAACGACACTATGTCAATTATAAAAAAAGCGTGCAACGCCGCAATGCCAAAACGGGGAAACCCACACAGACAAGGTCAAGAAGCATACTGGTGGACAATTGAAATAAAAATCTTAAGAGAGAAATGCCTTAAAACTAGACGCCGCTTCACCCGAGCAAGATGTAGAGGAATATTTACTACCCAGGAGCAGGAGTACAAAAAAGCTAAGAAGGCTCTTAATATTGCTATCCGGAAATCCAAGATTAATAAATGGAAGTGCCTTTGCAATGATGTCAACTCTGACCCATGGGGACTAGGCTACAAAATCGTCATGAAGAAACTTAGGTCCCGGAGACCCTTGCCGGATCTACAGGTAGATCAGATGGACAATATCGTCAGAACACTCTTCCCTACTCATGAGATTAGGCCGTCGAGAAGAACGGTGTCCGACCTTGAAGAACGAGTAGACATGTTTACATTGGAAGAACTTGTCAGAGCAACAAAAAGCTTAAAAAGTAGGAAAGCCCCGGGACCCGATAACATACCTGCGGAGGTCCTGCAAGCAATTGCAGAAAGGCGACCTAATCTTCTACTCGATATGTTTAATGCTTGCATCCGAACGGGACTATTTCCCGAGCAATGGAAACTGCAACGGCTGGTTCTGATAAGCAAGGGCAAAGGAGATCCCTTATCGCCATCAGCATATCGACCATTATGTATGTTAAATACTACAGGAAAGCTCCTAGAAAAGATGATCAAACCTCGTCTAGCAGCAGCAGTTAACAGAGCCGGAGGACTCTCTCCTATGCAGTTCGGTTTTAGACCAGGGAGGTCCACAATAGGGGCAATTCAAAAGGTATATTACGAAGCACTACGAAGTCAACAAGGAAATCACTACTCGAGACCTATAGTACTCTTAGCAACACTGGATGTCAAAAACGCTTTTAACAGCGTTAAATGGGAAAATATTACAGACGCACTAGAACAGAAATTCAAAATCGGTGGATACCTCTTGAAAATATTACAAAGCTACCTCGAAAACAGAAAGCTACTGTACCAAACAAAGGCAGGCGAGAAATGTGTAAAGGTAACATCAGGAGCAGCGCAAGGATCAATACTGGGACCCGAGCTATGGAATATTAGCTACGACGAAATACTGCGCATAGAAATGCCGGAAGACACGACCTTAGTAGGATACGCAGACGATATAGTTGCAGTTATCTCGGCTCGTAACCCCGAAAACATACAGCGTAAGCTAAACCAGGTGATGCGCCGGGTGAAAGGATGGATGGACAATAACGGTTTGCAGCTGGCCACGGAAAAAACCGAGTTGTTGCTAGTAACAACGAAGCAGTTTCCACTAGAAATAGATATGAGAGTAGGAGAAAATATCATTAGGACGCAGAAAGTGATAAAATATCTAGGAGTTCGTCTTGAGCCCAAACTGACGTTTAAGGCTCAAATTCAGCACGCTAAAAGCCGAGCGACCGACACTGCAAAATCACTTAGCAGACTCATGGCAAACATAGGTGGACCAATCCAGTCGAAACGCAAACTCCTAATGGAAGTGAACCACGCAATCCTGCTTTATGGATGTGAGGTTTGGGCTAACACCCTACGCGTAAAGTGCAGACTTAAACCCTTGCTCGAAGTTCAAAGGACAATAGCATTGAGGATAATCAGCGCCTATAGAACGGTATCAGGATCAGCAGCTCTAGTCACTGCGGGTGTAATACCGATCGATCTCTTAGCAAGAGAACGCCAAAAAAGTCTACCAGCTAAAACAAAGTGGAGTAGCGACAAGACAAACAAAAGAGCTGTGCAGAGAAGAGACCCTGAACTTGTGGCAAAATAGGTGGGAGCATGAATGCTCGGGAAAATGGACAGCTAGGCTTATACCCAATCTCAAGGGGTGGACAAAAGGAAACACGGAAACGTTGATTACTACCTAACTCAAATGCTGACCGGCCACGGCTATTTCCGGGCCTTTTTGCACACTATCGCGAAAAGCTCACAAGCTACGTGCATTTATGAAGACGCCGAGAGGGACAGTGTAGAACACACTATATTCCATTGTGAGCGGTTTCGATCAGAACGCACCGGACTAACGGATGCCATTGGAGAAATATCGCCTGAAAACATAGTTGATCGAATGATAAGCAGTGAGGCGGCCTGGAATCACGTAAAAGCCTATGTTGGAACGATCTTAAGGTCAAAGAAAAACGATCTTGATAGACGAGAAACGGACGCGTCGTAGAGCTTTGCATTGAGACGAGAGCGCATGTCGCGCAGGAGGCCCCACTTCGAAGTAGCCAAGATGTGCGAAAGCGAAGAGAACTGGAGAGCAGTAGCCGCTTTTATCGGAGACATTCTGCGCTTGAAGAAATTAGACCTTGATGCAAGGGTATAAAAAGGGCAGGCTGGACGCAGACCATCAGACGGGCTCTGGGGATCGCCTCTCCTTGGGTGCCAATGGATATTTTCTACGGTATATATTGGCATTTAAGTAGAGGCGAGCCTTAGAGCTTTGTATGAGTAGATGAACGCGCATCGCGCGCAAGAGGCCCCACTTTGAAGTAATGCGGAAGCTTTTCCGAAGTGGATACAGGCCTGATGAGGAGGGGTTTTTAGTGGGTGCAAGCCCCACATACCACACATACGACGGTAGTGTGAGATGCAAAAGGCATTTTCCCCCCTCAGCCCAAAAAAAAAAAAAAAAAAATTATTAATTATTATTATTATTATTATTATTATTATTATTATTATTATTATTATTATTATTATTATTATTATGGGACCGGGAGCTGTTTCTGCATGGCAAAGTGTCTGGTTGGCTTTAACATGGCAAAGCCCAGCATGATCCATGCAGAACTGCTTCAAGTATCTCACCGCCTCCACGTGGCGGTCCCGGGATCTTGTATCTCTGTCAACCGACAGGGTACTTGCTAAGGTGAGAAGGCGGCTTTTAAATCCCGTTCGCGTCTGTTCCCGAAGAGGGCGGCGTCTGGGTTAGCGTCTGTCCCATATTGGGCGGCTACATAATTGTCTTTTTGCAGATCGGCAGACACTAAAGAAGGTCCCCCGCTGATGACAGCGGCATTCCAACACCTGAGTACCCAGATTGAAACCCTGGTTAAATGGCTGCTGGGCTAATGCTGAAGTTACCTCCGTCCTTTTAAAACTTGGCGAGTCTTTAAATACGTTCTAATCACATCATCGCGGAACCGATGGTACAGGTGCAGTTGAGACAACTCCTGCTTAACATCCGTCCTGGCTCTGAACGCAGGTACCCATAAGGACCTGCGTCAACCCTCGCATGAACCTCACTGCTTGCATAGGGACCCATGGGGGCATCGTGGAGGACTGTACATATGTGAGGAGATAGCGACTTAAAGTTTGGACCCATATAGCATGCAGAACAATAGAAAACCCCAAGAAGAAGAGAGAGGAGCATTCCAGAAGAGTAGAAAAATGATGAGGTCGCCAGATCAAGGCGTTACAGAAGAAGGAAAGTCGGCGCAAGTGGTTCATCTGGAGGAACAACCAAACCCATCTACGGCAATACTGCACGAGGATCAGCAAACCCCTGCTTCGACCCAAGATGTCAGACCTGCGGTAGGTTCCCCAAGACAAGAGCTCATCTATAAAATGAGAGCACTAGAAGAGGAAACGATCGAGAAATGCAGAGCAGTGCTTCGAAAAATGAAGCATGCGATGCTAAAGCAGCGAAACATCAGTATGGATGTGAAAGACGGAGCGTCAGAACTGAGCGAACTCCTTGATATTCTCGGAAACTACAGAAAAAGCTGGTTGACAGCCGAAACAGAGAGAGTCAAGGAAACGAACTTAGCGGCTGAAGCCAACAAACAGCTGCAGGAAACTGACACACCAGTTTCGTCCCGCAAAAGCGGACTGCTTCTAGCCCGGCCGAGCCAGAGGCATTTAAAAAGCCGAAAAGTAAGGAAGCGAAGGACGGCTTTAAAACAGTGACTCGGAAGAAGGAAAAACCCAAAACATCTCAAACAGAGGAAACGAACAAAGCTGTTAATGTTAACCCTGAGAGGAAAGGAGAAAACTCTAAAGTACGGTCAAGATCCCGCCCAGAAGCTGT